ACTTGGCAATTAATCAATCACTCCAGCTCGACAGGGTTTTTGGAAAAGCGGCAAGGGGCCACCAAGTTAAAAATCGGTAAATCAGTGAGAGTATTTTATTGAGATTTTACAATTAGGCAAGTAGTCTTTGTAATTGGTCAGAGCTAGCTTTTGTTTCCAAAAATTAAAAAGGGTATTACAGTGGATGTCCACCTAGTGACGAAGCGCACCAGGATTGTCTACGAAGGCTATTACTCATCGAATCATCAAATCATCGAATCACCATATCATCGAATCATCAAAAATTATCGAATCATCAAATCAAATCATCGAATCTTCGAATGAATCTTGAATAACCAAATCATCGAATCGAATAGCCAAATCATCGGATCAAATCATCGAATCATCAAATCATTGAAACATCGAATCACAAAGTTATCAAATCATCAAATCAAATTATCGAATCACCAAATTATTGAATCTTCGAATGAGTCTTGAATAACCAAATCATCGAATTGTATCACCAAATCATCGAATCACAAAATCATAAGATCACTGAATTATAAACTCATTGAATCACCAGAATCATCTATTCAACGAATCTTCTAAATTTTTCTGATCCGATTCTGGTTTGTTTTTGATACTGTTCGCTAAAAAGATTGTGGGTTACTATAATTAAAGAAAGATCTTTTAATATTAGTTTTAATCAGATAGCGGTTTCGATTGATTTTCTCTGATCTGAGTTAATTTCCAGTCAAATCCGAGGAGCTCTTCCTGATATGCATTTTTACATAAGTAGTCAGGATCAGCACCCCCTAAATCCGCCCCATTGTTGACCTACCCCCACCTCTTTCCCCTCCCCCCATTTCACCCCTTTTCTCAACATATAGAGCATTGCAGCAAAAAAAATACAAAATAGCCTGGCGGCCAAACGAAGGCAATCACGATTTTGTGGCTGAAACGTTTTTTGCGCGTTTTCAATTTCCCATTTTGGTTTTTCTTCTCGTTTTGCTTGGGGGTGGTGGGTGTTTGGCGGGGGGCTGTGGGTGGAAAGGCCACGCAGTCGCTGGCAAGAGGAAACAGATACGCCTGTCCACAGATCGCAAAAAAGTCAAAATAAAAAGACCAAAAAAAAATAAATAGAAAGAGAGCTATACGGCTTTAACTTTTTGGCCGGCGCTTGTTGCGTTCGTTGAGGCGACGCTAATTGTTTCCGTCTGTTAATAAAAATATTTCAGATCAGTAACAAATTGAAAACAAGGCTGTGGGGATACTAAAGGCGAGTTGGTAGGCAGTTTGTAGACTGCTGTTTATGCAACGCCTCACGAAATGCAAATTGACATTTACGTGGTTGCAACACCAACAAAATGCCAGACAGTCGGACATTGGGCCACCACCACCGGCTTTATAGCCTGGCAAATAAGGAGCAACACGATTTGGCCACAAAAACAAAACAAATAGAAAATAAATAAGGCCCAGACTGAGAAAAGACAAAAAATTGTTGGCGACACTTTTTGCCGTTCCTGTGCCTTGGGTTGTAAGTGTGTGAGTTAAAGGTCAATGAGTTTGGGGTTAGTGGACCTGAACCTGGGAGCCTGCCAACAGTTTCGTTGTGCAACCTCCAATTGGGACTCCCAGATGATGGGATAATGTCAGCCAAAGAATCGTGTCGCATTTGGCTAAATTGCCAGCCATTTTTGGTGCGTCGAAGGGAAAAACAATGGTGGAACCGAAAGATTTTCCGCAGAACACTTTCCCGCCAAATGGGGAGAAAATCCGCCAAGCGTAACCAAGAGCTAAAATCAAATGGGTTGACCTCATTAACCAAAGGGTTATGGAGAATCGGGGGAAAAGACCAGGCCGCCGAAGAAAGAGAACAATAAAATTACAATAATCGCTTGGGTAATGCTCTTCGAAGGGGCGAAAGGGGCGGTGTTCAAGCGACCATGATGATGATGAACTTGCAAAGACGACTGCCGATGACAATGACTCTTGTATCGCCCGCTCTTCTATATCTTTTTTTTTGGCAAACTTGGTTACGCTTTAGAGAATTTCTCCCCCTATACACAAAGGTTAACAAACCTTTCAAGAAATTGGCCAAAAGCTTAACGGTGAATAATAAGATAAAGCACAGTCATAAAAAAATAAGACTTGGATGTGATTTTTTTTTTAGCATTACTAATGATTTCCAATATTTCTCATATAACAGAGGCATTATTTTAGTTAAATGACAGAATAGAAGATTATACAAGTTGAATATTTATTTTAGAATGAGTTATTTTTTGTAAAGTTTAACATTTTCTTTGCCCAAAGAATTTGTTTGGATTATTTGGTTGATTTCCCAATGTCAGGTTAAAGTTCTAGTTTTTTATCTGTCAGGGAGAGTTAACATAAAGTTAAATTGTTTGTAAAATTAATTCGTTTTCTTAATGTGATGTTGAATATTCCAACTGACAAACCTCCAAGTTAAATAAATTTAACATTAAGAGTGTCCCTTTCAGATAAAACATAACATCATATATGAGAAACTAAATGTAGTATCAATTTATCCTAATGACAAGTTAACATGACATTGAGAAATCGGCCCTTGGTAAATAAAATGGTCAGACTAATATAATAATATTGTTTAAAAATTAGCAAATGACCACAAATATAGGTTTTCATTCGGTTACAAGTTTCCAACAAAATTTTCTCAAATTTTTCCCAGTATTATCGGCGATCTCATGTTTTGGTCCCATCTGCATGTGGTTGCCACTAGCAACATTTGACTGACATTCGATTTTCGCAATTCGCAATATGCTCGCCCGGCTGCTGTTGACTTGGCTGATTTCTACCGATTTGCGATTTGTTAATGGCTCGAATATTAAGTTACAATTATCTGATGGACGGCCATCGATGACTGTGGCTCCTCTCCACTGTCATGGCCACATTTCACTTTCAGCAAGATCCGAGCGACGAGAAATCGTGATGAAATTGATTTGCGGCTCTTTACTATTTTTTTTTCTTATTCGCCATCATAGTTACCGACAGCTCTCTATCTGTCCATCCGTCCATCTGTCCCTCCTCACCGATATCTCCTTATTTTTCTCAGCATCTGGGAAACTGCATAATTTTCTCGCTTTCCAGCTATTTTGCATTTGCCATTTGTCTACTTTGCTTCTCTGGCGCTTCCACCGATATTCCTCTGTCAAATTGCCAAGCGGCAAGCGACGGCATTTTCCTCTGATTTTCCTACAATTTTCCCCCCTTGGTTTTCCCACCCACTGAAACTGCAGTCTCAAAGTTGGCTCTTTAACACGAAACTGAATTTAATTTGCTTTTCTTCGTTTCTTTTGCATTTATTTGGCATGTTTGTTGTCTAATTGAGCGAGAAATTGCCGTTGATTGATTGTTTTGCATGCAATGTGTTATTTGTTATATTGTTATTGTTACTGCCATTTCAATGGCTGCATTTATTTCCCACTTCGCAACGGTTAAATGCGATTTAATCAACGTTCTGTAATTGTTTGCCAACAATTTGCAACGGCAAGTAATAAATCTTTTCCTCTATAAGACAAATGTCAGCTACTTCTTGTAGAAATGACTAACGATAGAAAACAGTCGAAAAGTCTTTAAGGCATTTAAGCTGACTGCCTGTCAAAACTTTACAGTTTGTTAGACTTCAAAGAGTTGTAAAATTTTAAAATATATTAAGTGGCGACCAAACAAGCGTCAATTATTTATGACTTCGCTTGAATTTAATGCATATTGGCAATTCCCAAGCTGCCAGTCTTTTATATTATTTTTATTTAAAGCGACAACATATTAAAAGACTGGTTAATTGTAAAAAATTGCCCATAAAAATGGCCGACAATGTTTGATCACAACATATGTAATAAATAACTCGTGAAGTGCCTCTTTAAATGAAATAAAGGCATTATGTATGGGTATAGTTGATGTCTGTTATTTATGTATTTATCATCCTTTTGAAATTATGCGGGAGGTTTTAAAAAATCCCAAATCCCATACCAAAAAATCTAAATAAAATTAATATTAATATTACTAAAAAATATGATAGTAATATTATATATATTTAAGGTATGATAACACATTTTTTATTATATTTATGTAAACATTTGGTGTCTTTTTGAAATTTCTTTCATGTCATATTCATTGATGGTGTCATTCATTGATGTTACTGATAATTCCTGAATTTCTTTATACAATAAAAGAGTTCATTTTTTTAAAATATTATTTTTTGTGATTTTTTTACACCTTTAGAATTTAATTTTTCCTGTGGATCCAGAGGACTTTGGGAGTGTATCTAATGCGGCACATTGTTCGGCCTCCTTGTTTGCCAATGGAATTGTCATGTTTATGGTAATTAACAGTTAATGGGTTCTACGCCATTGCAGTTGTTAATTAGCAAACATGGAGTGGATTCTGCAGGCCACACAGCATATGTTGCACTCAGTCTGCAGTTCTTTGTGTGTTTAAAAGCAGCTCTTTGTTTGTGCAGCGATATTTCCTCAATTGAATTTCACAGAGATAAACCGACAGCACAACCGACCCCCCTCGACCAAGAAAATAAATATATTGCAACGAGTTGTGGCCACAAATCGCAGCTTATTAATTCCCAAACAAAGTTCGCCAAAGGCCGTAGAGTTTCCACAACTTCGACGATCTCCGGCTGGCCGGTCATTTATCAATTCAATGGCTTTTTTGGCCCCCATCCCCCTTTTCAGTTGTAAGTGTGAAAAACTGGAGGGGGGGAGGTTGAAAAAAGGTGGAAAATGGGAAATGGGCAACGGCAGCATCGCATTAACTGCACAGGTGTCCACTTAATTGACAGCTAACGAGGCACAGAGGAGCAGACCAGAGACCATAAACCCAGGCCAGACACATCAATATTTGATGAAGTGCATGTCGCTTCGATTACACAGGAAAAATATGAAAAACAACGGTCTGGGCAGTTAAAATGGTTTTATATTCATGTATTTCAAGCAGAATTTATTCTTGAAAATGTAGTAAGGAACAAAAATATTATGTATTTAGCTCTGCGGATATATCTAATTCATGTGGACAATTTGGTTTTCCCTCTGTGTATATGAATATATTGAATACAAAGTGGACAGGGCTTAATACAGGTCTTGGACTTTTTGATTTATTTTAACCTGGTCAGAAGCGAGGTGGCAATCGCAGGTGTCTTTTGGCGCAGTTAGGACAGAAGCCCAGATTTGGAGGAGGTTCTCGTAGGCTTTTAAAGGAGTCTTCACTTGTACCATGAAGATTGATTTTTTTCTTTGAGAAACGTAGTTGGCATTCCTCAAGGTGTTCTTTGCAGAAATTGTGGTTTTGCTTATATCTTTCTGGGTTGGAAATCGGAGGACTATGGTTTCTCCGTTTTGGCCATCTTGTAGGTATATATCTAGTGACCTTCTTCAGTCTTAGCTCATCCTCTGATTCGGAATCATAGCCAACTAGGATTGATTTTAGGGGTTCCAGCAAAAGTTGGTTTCCCCCACTCTGTCGTTCTTCCTCCATAAGGCACATGGGCGAGGGAAAACGCTGGCAACTGCCACGAATTCTATCTATCTGGAGTTTCTTTTCCAGATCCTGCTGGGCCATGGCCAGAATTCGCCAGATAGAGGTTCCATCTGGTCCATAACGCTCATTGTACTTCCTTTGCTCCTCATACATAAGATATCTTAACTCATGAAGTTGTTTCCAGCGATCGAACAAAGCCTGCCGATTGTCAAAATTGTCTTCCTCTCTTTTAATGATTTGCCATCTCTGATTGAGTTCCCCATCTGACATCTTTTCTACCTCATGGGGCATTAGTTGAAGACGTCTTGCCCAGAAAAGCAGTCGCCTTTTGGCCAGTTCCCTTTGGCGATCGTAACGCGAAACAGAGACGTACTCCTCTTGGCCTGAATCATCCATGGCACTACCTCCTTCTCGCCTCAAAACATTTGTGAATTTTGACTAACCGAATTCCGAAATTACACAACTTCTAGGTTTGCTATGATCTAAGGGGGAAACTTACCCACTGAACTGATTACATAAGTGGCTGGCGGTTTCAGGACGCTGCGGGCAAAGGCTCCTCGTAGGACCTCCAGGGCACAGGGTTCAGCCGTAACCAGCAGCATTCCGGGCGCCACATGTCCTGCGTATTTTAGCGCCCTCGTGGCAGCAGTCAAAGGTCCATTCCACCAGCATTGCGCATTGGCAGCCAGAAAGTTCTGCAAAAATGTATAAAACAAAATTCAAAGGTCAGCAAATGGTTACTGATAAAAGGGAATGCCTGTTACTGGAGAAACTTGACCTCTCCAATGAATAAAAGTCCAGCAATCTTAAATAGATTTAATATTTTGTATAATTTTTATAAGAACTACAAATAAAAACCTATGCCATTCCTAATATTTTCACAGATATTAATGTTTTTGTTACTGATTTCTGATAAGATATGTATATCATATAAGCCGAAATGCATTAAAACCTGGAAATACCTTTAAAGTGAACCACCCTTTAAGGAAACCCAGCGAAACAGGCCAAAAGGGGTGTCTCTACCGGTCTTTACATCCATTTCCAGTGGGAGTCTGCATCTCATCAGCTAATTGACAAATTGCAGAGCACCGCGTGGCATAATTGGCGCGGTGCTGTCTGGCTTAAAGAGCCATCCATCTGTGGGCGTTGCAAGCGGTAACTGCTGCTGCAGCGGCTTTAACCTGATGGCTGGCAAACCGTCAATTAGCTAAAGCGGATCGCTGCCACGCCCCCGTATAAAGAGGCGGGGGGATGGGGTGGCGCCACAAAAATAAAAGCCAAAAAAAAAACGGAGGAAAATAAAGTAAAACCAAAAGCCGCCGTCTCATTGCTGGGAATTTATTTTTGGGCTATCCAAAACCGAATCGAATCGTAACGAAACGAAATCCTTAACACGTTCTGGCCAAGAGGTTTCCATGGAAAGGCACAAAAAATAAGAGAAAAGTGGGAGGAGTGCGGAAAAGTGGTGACTGGGGCAGCAAATAAATGTCCAATTTGTGCAGTAACAGGAACACTTGAGGCACGTTTTTGATGTAAACACGGACAAAAAGGGTCGAGAGTCACAGCAAAAAGCCATGGACAATGGAGCCAAAGGGATAGAGGATGAGGGAGGACTGCGACGATTGGGAAAGAAAGGCCAAGAGATCGATGTAGCCGCCGGAGTTTCACGCTTTGTGGCTTTCTGTGTCGCTAATGAACATCATCCAGTTTGAGCGATTTGACCTTTTGTGTCGATGGGCCATCGAGGGAATCCCGGGGCGGGCATCTCTCCCCCCGGGTATTGCCATTTCTTGTGGTCACTCCTCTTGGGCTTTAATGTCGCCTGGGTCTGGTATGCCGCTTATATAAGTTGGATGACTCTCTACCTCTGCCTCTTTCTCCATCGCCATCTGCATCTCCACCTCCATCTCGATGGCTAAGATGCCCATCCATGCCCATTCCAACCTTCCGCCCGGGGCCGCTCAATTAATGCATGAGAAGGCGAAGAAATTAACTCGTCATTGCCTGCCCGTCAGGCTTTTGCTTTGGCTTCGGCTGTCACGCGCCGCCAGATGGCGCTCATCGTGCACTCGGAGAAAATCAGAGAGACAAGAGAAGTTTCTGGGAGTTTAATGGTATCTTGAGACAACATTCTAGTCGATGTGATAAAAACCATAGAGATATATTTGATTTTTTAATATTTTTGGAACATTTTAAATCCAATTTTTTCCAAGATACATACTGGGTCTTGAGGAATCTGTGTATTGGTTACTTCAAATGGCTTGATTAGATTTATCTAAAATAAATATCTTATATATTTCCAAAAGTAGCTTCTTCAACAATTTCAATTTGTGTCAAGAAAGAGGATCAAGAAATTTTCACTGTTGTATACTGTGCGTGTGGCGGCAGAAAGCTGCGTGCGCTGATTGAAAGTTTGATTATTCCACAATGCTCCAATTAAGTTTTGGATATACAATAATCTTATTTAAATATACAAGTTTTAAAGTTCAATATATACAAAGTAAAATGTAAGGCTCAGTAAAATAAAGTTCAATTATTCTAGTTCTAATCTCTTATAAAATTGTAGGCAACGCTTTACTATTTACAAGACCTTTTCCATAGTGCATCTCATCCCCCAACCAACACTGTAATTATAGTGCTGCATCATTGTGAGACACGAGACAAAATGCCAGAGACAGTCATCAACAGCCTACTTATAGAGGCTTTCCATCGATCAAAGGGATCTGGTTTGGGACCTGCGCTTCGAGGTGTCTGCGTTTCTCGTTTCTCGGAAGTAATGCAAAACTTTTAATAATCAAATCAAATGCTCACGCCGACCTCTATGTCGCGCGTATGAAAGTCATTTTCACCGCGGGCTGAATTTGAAGTTTGAAGTTTCGCTTTTTGGCTGCTCTTGATGTCGTTTCATGTCTTTTATTATTATATGTTTTTTGGTTTGGCTTGGTTTTTTTTTGTTGTTTCGGGTGGCGGCTTTCGTTTTGGGACTTTTACTTAATTTCATGTAATAGAAAACTAAGCAACAAAACTCCCACAAAAGTAATGCTCAAAGACAAAACTATCACCGGGAGTTGGAGTGGAGTTTATGAATCGAGCCAAGAGTTGGCAGGAGGCCTCATGTGGGGAGGTTGCTGGTGAACCACTGATGTTGCTGCCGTGCTGCAACAGTTGCTGCCGTTGTAGATCTCTCGTGTGTGCCGCATAAAAAGATAATAACAATATACAAACAAATGCGCAGTCAGGCAGCCCGTAAGCCGGAGATTGCCAACCGCTGCGGACTTGGGGCTTAATAGAGTTATGATGAAGTATAATAATCCTTGACCTTTCCACCAGCCAACATCAAGTTGCAGCTACAAGTCAAGACCGCAGCTCTTAGGCACAAGTCAAAACGTTTTTGGGCTCTTTGTGTTATTTCTTCCCCTACCACATATTTTGCCGTTTTTGTTTGGCGGACCCTTCATTTGACTTTAAAAGGCGCCATTTAATTTCGCAAATGAGAAGCAACCGGGACTGAAAATGAATATGTTATGAATTTCTCCAAAATCATTCAAAACACGGATTTCAAAAGGTGTCGGGGGACTTAATCCACAACCAAGAGGTGTGTATTTTAGTTACAGATAAACTTAATTGGCAATATAGATATCCAGCAAAGCTATATTTTGTTGCCCCGGTCGAGATCGTTTTAAATTTTCGTTTGCTTATGTTTTTTTGAAAACGCCCCTTTTCCCTGGGAATCAGTTTAAAGCGCAATAAAATCGTTTATTTTATACTAATAGGTTTGATATCTATCATGGGAAAAAATTAGTTTTTAAAGGGCAACTTTTCTTGTAATTTTTATGGTTATACTTTTTATACAGTTTACAGAGGCAATCAAGATGTCGATTGATGACCAATAATTACATTATTCATAATGTTAATGGTCGTAGACACCCATCTTAATGGTTTTTCTCCTCAAAGTTCAAAATGTTCTTCGTGGAAGAAATTTCAGCTAGCTTTTTCTTATGATAGCATTTATACGGTAATTTATGGCTTCTTAATGGTCTTAAAGTATTGCTTTGATTATTTTTCATCGTCAAAGTTCGTGCTTAACCGTTCCGCATCGAGAAAATGATAGGTTGCTAATTAGTTTAATAGCTTATTATTTAATAATTTAATATTTTATTTCCCATTTATGCTAAAAGTTAATGATAACTTTGGGAGTTCAAAGCCAGACGAAGACTCACTGAGTTAATTATTACAGTGTCTGGCCATGCAATTTATTTAATCTTTTATTCCCCGTTGATTACTTTTAGGATTACACTTCGTATTTTTCTGCACTTCCAGCTCGTTTCCAATTATTTGAGGATTTCTCACGTCCATAACTTGTACATGAGCGCCCCAGGACAGCTGCAGGTCCTTTGTTTGTGCCTTATCCCTGTCATCATTGTTTATTTGGCTCTGGTCAAGTGCCAGACAAAACCGGGGGTTGAGTCCATAAACCGTAGCGCCTGTCGGAAGCCCCGGCTTGCTGTACTTATAGGACGAACAGAGTTCCAATCAATGCGGCTAGTCCTGATAAGGATACAAATTCCATGGCCATGTCCGAGTGACGCCCACTTCCTCCGCTAAATTACCAATCCCCACCCTGCCCTTTGGAATAAGATGTGTACGGCTGACTGACTGCGTTTTTCTCGGACTCGATTTGCACTGCACTTAAAATACCAAATCGGATTTGGGGGGCGCACCACCCCACAGGCATTGACTTTGGTCAGCTATCGAGGGTTGCCAGGATGCCAGGTTCAATGACCAGGATATCTACTACTCTTGGCTAAACATGCGATTTGTTTTATTAGTTTTCCCCGAGCAAAATACACACAAGTAGCATGTACGAACAGCTGTTGGCAAAAGTCCTGCCCGACTGCAAGCCTTTCTGCCTGCCAAACAAAAACAGATCCAATGGATTGCGGCCTGGATATCTAGCAAGGCATCGCATCTGCAACTATTTCAACTTTTTGGCAGCCCATTGCGGTCGCTATTTTTGTTGCAATTAATAATAAAAACTTTCAACTGGAAAAGCTAAAAAACTCTCAAACTCTTTCCTATAAATGTGCCTGTTTTGTGGGAAAAAGTTTTGCAATTGCTAAAACTTCTAAAAAGTAAAACCTAAAAGGGAAATGGGGAAAAACATATGAACTGCTGTAGACCTAAAGATACCTGATATTTTGATTGTTGGGTAGCCAACAATTTTAGAAATTATAAGTTATCTTATTGCAGACATAGGAATTATAATATTTGGCGCCCAACGTGGGGCATTCCTAATCAATTTTATATGGCATCCCACGTGGCATAGTTTCAAATACTTCGACTATGGTATTAATAGAACTTATACATAAATGGATTAGTGAATATTTTACATGTTTTAATAAAGTTATATATTTACAGGAAATCCAACAGAAGGCCCAAATACGAAAGCAAGTTGAACCTGTTAGACATGTA